GAATTTCTCCCAAAATAGTATACAACTTTTTATCAGTAAACGGCAACGCTAGTTGCATGGAATTATAAGCTAGTGAAACATAAGCTAGTGAAACATAAGCTGGTGAAACATAAGCCAGTGAAACATAAGCTGGTGAAAAATAAGCTAGTGAAACATAAGCTGGTGAAACATAAGCTGGTGAAACATAAGCTAGTGAAACATAAGCTGGTGAAACATAAGCTAGTGAAACATAAGCTAGTGAAACATGAGCTGGTGAAAATAAAATGAAAAACATACTTTTTAAAAAGTTTGATTTCCTTCATACTTACTACAGAGCACTTTTCATACTTAGTACACAGCACTTTACATACTTACTACACAGTACTTTTCATACTTAGTACACAGCACTTTACATACTTACTACACAGTACTTTTCATACTTAGTACACAGCACTTTTCATAATTACTACACAGTACTTTTCATACTTAGTACACAGCACTTTACATACTTACTGCACAGTACTTTTCATACTTAGTACACAGCACTTTTCATACTTTCTACACAGCACTTTTAATACTTACTACACAGTACTTTTCATACTTACTACACAGTACTTTTCATACTTACTACACAGCGCTTTTAATACTTACTACACAGTACTTTTAATACTTACTACACAGTACTTTTCATACTTACTACACAGTACTATTCATACTTACTACACAGCACTTTTAATACTTACTACACAGTACTTTTAATACTTACTACACAGCACTTTTAATACTTACTACACAGTACTTTTAATACTTACTACACAGCACTTTTAATACTTACTACACATTACTTTTCATACTTACTACACAGTACTTTTCCTACTTACTACACAGCACTTTTCATAATTACTACACAGCACTTTTCATACTGAGTACCCTGTACTTACAAAGTATTTATCATAGCACCGCACAACTTTCGTTTTTGGATCAGCATTCTATCTTTTTAAAAATGAGATTAAAGTCTGAACAGTGTTAGAGCAAGTCTGCAAGTAGCACATCAACAAAACGACTATCTCTGCTGGAGCATTTCTGTGTGATCTGGCCGGAACGCGACAGTAAGATCCGAGGGAACATATATCAACGCTCTGTCAGCAATAAACTTGGACCGACTCTGGCAGACTTACCTGAACTCATTGAGTATTTTGCCATCTTTAAGGAACGCGTTCAACGGATTTGCCTAGTCTCAAGAAGCGGCAAAGACAGAAATATTTAAAAAAAGAAAAAAGAAATGATCAGCGAATAAAATAATGAAGCTCCTGAGAGGTTGAAGTGGATCTCTTGGTATAACACGATGCCAGACACACGGGCGTGGGGCCCGCTTACGAGAACGGTTGTGTCTCAAAATAAGACCGTCTTTAAGTACATGGAACAGAGTCAGGAAAGAAAGCGAAGAAAAGTTGCCAAACTGTATTGTAACTTCCTGCCCCCTGTGTTCAAGTTAAACGTTTGATCATCTGAAATATAGATGGACCAAAATGTTGTGCTTGAAATTCCGTAACTTGACATGGAACATACTATGAGTGGCTTAATTTTGTTATGTCTATCCCTGTTAGTGGCTGCCATAAGCAAGCAACTTATATGAATGAAATTAAAACTCTTTCCTTTTATGTCTCGGTGACTATGAGCACCGGACTTCTACTTCCCCCACCCACATAAAAACAATTTCTCATGGACCATTGTCTCTCTGTCACCTTAATTCTTAGTGATGCGAGATTTTGAAGGATTGCGACATACTCATGCAAGTTTGTTGGTGTTATTTTGTCCATCTGATGTAACTGTACCTTACTGTGGTGTGCACGTTACTTTAAACTGTGTATAGATCTGTACAATGATTAAGTGCTTCTAATTTAGAAGCATGTGAAAGTGGAAGCTTCTTGCGAATGTCCTCAGTAATGAGGGATATGTGAAAGGACCATGATTGTAACGTTTTACAAAGAGGATGTCTTAATAACATTTCACGTCCACCGGTCAGCAAAGCAATGCTTCATGGGTGTAAGGGGGCGGAGATTCCAAGCGACAAAATGGCGTCCGTCAAGGTCCCATTACCCTGGAATCGTTGATGCGCTCTTTCTCTCCCCCCCCCCCGCCCCCACGGCCCCCTTCAACCCCCCCGGCCCCACGGACCATTTAAATGTTTATTGTGGTTATAATGAGACCTTACGATATTTAAAAGATGAATCTAGAAAATAAATATCATGACTGGAATGTAAAGACGGGTGTAAAAGAGATTTATAGCCGTGGGGAAATACCCGGCTAAAGCAGTTGATGGAAGTGGAGTAAAAGCTAAAGGTGATTGGCGGAATGCATTCGGAGGAATGCAGGTAGATTTAAAAAACAAAAAAATTGGAGTTGAAGGTCGTTAAACACAGACATGAAGACAGTGGAAGATGTTGAATGCATAACAAAAGGGCAATGGGAGATTGATCAGGCGTGATCAAATAAAAGGACATAGTGGTCATCAATAATTTTGAGTATGAAAATGTAACCGACCTGCTTGTGTTTGATTCATGAGAAATACTGGACTCCACATGTTTTGATGGGGCTTAATAAAAGGACGGACGTGTCGACACGGTTCAGTGATTTGAAACATGACGGGGTTGGCTTGACATATTATGAACATGTATGTGCTGATTGTTACAAGTACGTGTACATCATTTGCACAGGGATGCCTTTTTAATAATGTAACTCAACGATAAAGGTTAGTTGTTGTAGTTGTTTTTTGTTTTTTGTTTTTTTGTTTTTTTTTTAAAATTACCACCTGCATGATAATAGCGAGTGACTCTCGAATATATTTTTAAAAATTTCATCTCAGAAAATAAACTGTAATTCTTGCTTAAACCATAACAGGTAACTTATTTCATTTTTGTTGCATGCATCGATCATGTAGTTAAAGTTTCATTGCTCTACAGCTCTGCTATCAAATTAGAAAGTCTCGATCATTGGTAAGTAACCTGCGTCATGTTTGAAGGAATAAATAATGCCATTTAAATATTTCGCCCCCTGTCTGCGCAGCCCATCATGTTTTTCTCATCTGTTATAATTTTTATGCGGTTTAAATGGCTCCTCGCTTAAAAAAAGGGTTGCCGACCACTATGCTGCGACCGCTGTGTTGCGACCACTGTGCTGTGACCACTTAGTGGTCCACTATGCTGCAGGGATAGTGCGTCAACTCGGCAGCCATCTTAGTTTCATTGCTGCTGATTCGTACCACCATTATGCGTTTGTTTGTAGAAGAGATGTTTGTTTTTATTAACAAGTTTTGGCATGACAATCAACGTTATCTCGATTAGAATGAGATTTGAGATGTCCTGACAATTACTGAAAAGCTTTCCTGGCAATGAAAGTACTTCTAATGTCTTCAAAGCATTGTGATCTTGTTTTAAACTCATTTTTTAAAAAATTAAAATATTTGAATAATTTAATTATGTACGCTATGAAATGTACGCCTTTTTATGTAACTGTCGAATATACGACTAACATATTTAACTATCTTATAAACGCCCACCACATATATTTATATATAGGACTATACTATGTTTCATTAGTAGGCAATGTAATTTGATCGTGTAAGATTATATTATTTATGATAACCATATTTTCAGCTACCATATGTAAGGAGCTTGAATATCAATCGCTGGTGTACTCAACTTGTATGAATGCTATATGTAAGTCCACCTCACGTATGACTTTCCTACGTACGACCGTCGTATATATGTGTGACTTTGATATGTATGACTTGTTTTATGCATAGGTGTCAAAGCCTCGTATGAAAGTTTCACAACCGCCTTACTGGATATATGGTCCCGTGGAGTTGGCAATTGTTTCATTTTCAGCCCACAGTACAGTGAAGGTGTGTGTGGATGTAAGAAACCCACTTAAGTTAACACTCATGACCTACTGGTTGGCCCCGCCACACTAGTATACATATATGACCTACCGGTTGGTCTCGCCACACTGGTATACATATATGACCTACTGGTTGGTCACGCCACACTAGTATACATATATGACCTACTGGTTGGTCACGCCACACTTGTATACATGTATGACCTACTGATTGGTCTCGCCACACTAGTATACACTCATGACCTACTGGTTGGTCACGCCACACTAGTATACACTCATGACCTACTGGTTGGTCACGCCACACTAGTATACATATATGACCTACTGGTTGGTCACGCCACACTAGTATACATATATGACCTACTGGTTAGTCACGCCACACTAGTATACATATATGACCTACTGGTTGGTCTCGCCACACTAGTATACATATATGACCTACTGGTTGGTCACGCCACACTAGTATACATATATGACCTACTGGTTTGTCACGCCACACTAGTATACATATATGACATACTGGTTGGTCACTCCCGCACTAGTCTACACTCATGACCTACTGGTTGGTCACGCCACACTAGTATAATGTGACCCACTGGTTGATTACACCCAATCTAGTATACATATGACCTACTGGTTGGTTACACCCAACCTAGTATACATATGACCTACTGGTTGGTTACACCCAACCTAGTATACAATGACCTACTGGTTGGTTACACCCAATCTCGTAGTCTACAGACATCAATTTTCCCCACTCTAATCAACCCATTGGGCCCATAGAATTGTGGATTAAGTGGGGCAGCCCCCAGCCTAAACTTGAAATAATTCCAAAACTTGTTCACCTTTCCGCTCGAACGCTTAAATTCATATCTTCAAAACTCGAACCAAACCTAGTTATGTGATGTGTTATGTAATGTGGTATGTGATGTGTTATTCGATATGTTAAGTGACGTGCTATAATGTTTAAATTCTATCATTTTGTCTCATACACTTTCAAAACAAAATATTCAGTAGCGGCTCAATCATTTTATTGTATTATAAATTTTATTATAGTTATAGCATTATCCATCATTCTGTTTTATTTCGAGATAATTTGTGTACGAGTATCTTTGAAAAATGACCTTGTAAGCTCTTATTATGCAAACCAATGACACAACATGACAAACTCCAAATGAACAATAACATGACAACAATGTAATCTTTAATAAATGAAATTGAATGTTGAATTTGAGTCAGTCTGGTTCGATAAAATGTTGTGTTGTAAGACTGTTGTCATGGTAACCACTTCCGTTAAGTTCATCGTTTCCAGTTTGGCCTATGATGGCTCTCGCTTGTCTCTCTATCCGCTACCCGAGTCAGACATCTGTCTGATCCCAGAGAGTACACGTTGGTCTATGGGAGAAACACCTTTGTATTTCTGCTCCGGTTCATCAACGGGGGCAACTTTGAAAACTTGTTTTTACATTTCCCCGTTGAAACCCGGTAACAGTGAATCCCTTGCTGTTGTATGTAGGCGAGGACGTACTTCCAGGCAGCCTCGGCAGCAGCCGACCACTGGCTCGGTAGATTCTCCGCCATGAAAGCTAACGCAGTTTTACAGCTCTTCTGCAATATATATATATATATATATATATATATATATATATATATATTTAAACGCTGTAAAATCAGGATATCGTTTGATTTATCTTCTAATTTCTTCTATATTTCTTCTAATGTATTTTATATGTGTTTTTGTCGCAGTTCGTAAAGACTGTTGCCTTTATTATTAAGATGAATAAAACGCGAAGGAGCTATTTAAATTTCACGTATTATTAGGCTTATCATAATTTTTAGACTTGAAACCAGTGGAATTTGAGTGGTGCAGAGGCGTAGCGAAGGGGGCTGCGAGGACATAAGTCCCCGGGCGCCAACCAGTTGGGGGGCCAAAATGTGCTTTTATACTAATTTATTGATGAAAATAATGGGTTTGAGAGTTGAAAAAAGAAAAAGGGGGCGCTTTAAAATGAATCTCGTCCCTGGGCGCCAAACACTCGCTACGCCTTTGGAGTGGTGGAAGCCTATCCCATCCCCCACACAAAAATTACCCCTGGACCATTAATATTAGTAATACAAAAAAACTACATTTACATTTTTTAGAACATTGTGAACTGCTCAAGAAAGATAACAAAAGTTAACAATTTCGCTAAAAGCTCAACAATTCTTCACAATTTGTCGGCAAATCTAAACACAGACTATGAGAACTACACCTTGATCAGAATCTTCGAACACATAAGTTTTACATTAGTATTTATTTGCTGCTTCTCGTTTTGACCTTTCTGCTGAAGAAGGCGTTTAGGCGAAACGAACTTATAATTTTACTGTCTTATTTTGTCAAGCTTAATTATATATTGTTCCACTATTTTTTTTTTTACTTTGTATGGCTAGAACGTAGTCCCTCATATTTGTCCTCCAATCGAGTAGTTGTTTAAAAAAATCAATTTTAGTAGGCATTTCATTATTTTTTTCAGCTTTAATTCTTAAATTTCAATCTTCGGGTGGCGGGCGGATGGTCGTGTCTGTGAACCGTAGCACAGTCGCCAGAAAACTGGTGCATACTAGGGAACCAACATTTTTGTCTAAAATTTCAGGCCTTGTGATTTCGTCACATTCCCACCAAAAACTAAATCTATTTCTATTTTGTCCTACCTATATTTTAATTTGTTAACTAGATAAATTCAAAAGCAGACAGGGGTAGGGTAACATTCAGTGACCGGCCCGGGGGAGAGAATTTTTTAACCCAATCAGGTTGGAAGCAGGATCTCCCCCCCCCCACACACACACACTCTGTGTAGACGCCCTGGGAGTAGCCAATGGGAGGAGACGATGGTGGCGAATGTCTCGGTTTGGGACTTTTGTTAATCATTCTTAACAACATTATAAGTGTTCTTTTTAATTTACTGATTTCTTTTGAGCTACCTGGACATCGTTCTTGGTGTAACCTGCCTCCGTGAGGAGCTGCACTTTTTCGGCCAACTTCTGCTTCAAGATGGCCGCGTTTTTCAGTCTCGCTATGACGTCAGTGATGTGGTTTATGAACCGTCGACCATCCTCCACGGCCTGCTGGCTCCTGTAGATGCGCATCATGCTCGCCGTTTGGGACTTGGTCTTGATCGGTAGGTGACCATCGCAGTGCGGCCCACCCTTTGTTACGCCGTGCCGGAGGAGGCTGGAGAAGTGAGAGAGGATGAGGTTTTTTTTGGAAAGTTTCTAGGAAAGAGATAGGAACTAAACGTTTGTTTGGTCAAGGTTTAGCTCGAGGTCCGACGATGATAGCAAAGCGTGAACGATCCCCCCCTCTCCCCATCCCGAGATCAAAAGTAATTTATTTATTTATTTAAATAATAATTTTTTGCAGTTGGGGAGGGGGAGGTTCTTTGCACCACCTTTCAGCGGGTCGCACATTTCAGTACAAAACTGTTCTCTTACATTGTAGTACAAAACTGTTCTCTTACATTGTAGTACAAAACTGTTCTCTTACATTGCAGTACAAAATAAATGTTCTCTTACATTGCAGTACAAAAATGTTCTCTTACATTGCAGTACAAAACTGTTCTCTTACATTACAGTACAAAACTGTTCTCTTACATTACAGTACAAAACTGTTCTCTTACATTGCAGTAAAAATCTGTTCTCGTACATAGCAGTACAAAACTACTCTCTTACATTGCAGTACAAATATGTTATCGTACATAGCAGTACAAAACTGCTCTCTTACATTTTAGTACAAATCTGTTCTCGTACATTGCATACAAAACTGTTTTCTTTGGTGATAAAGAGATACATACGACGTGGCTCAATTATTCAGATAAAACTTGAAAGCTGGCAAATAGTAGTTAGCACACAAAAGAACTCGAAAAAGGGAATATTTAAATAAAGATTTTTTTTTAAAAATATATAAATGTAAAGGAAAAAAAACTATCTGTAAGACAAAGTAGCAATCATGATTGGGAACTTTAAGAACAAAGTATCAATCACGATGGGGACCTTTAAGAACAAAGTACCAATCACGGTTGAAAAATGTAACAAGAAGGTACGAACTATTTCAGCAGCTGACATCCTAGCACGTCCTGGTACTGGACCATGTAACTCCACGTCGAGATGACCAACTTGACTTGGTCCTCGTCCAGCCCCGTCAGCTTGGCGTCACTGTCTACTGTAAATGACCAAGTGAATGAAGCATGAATTGAAAGTAAGTCTACTGTTCCTTCCTATATCTCTCGGAGCCGGTGTGCCCCGTTTGTGGCAATGGTGAGTGCCCAGGAGAGAGCGGAAAGACTGGAAATTTTCTCACGAAGAGTGTTGAATATAATAAGGTTTATCTTAATAATGGGAACAAGTGTTCTTGGTATTTTCTAGGTGGAATTTTCTATTAATATTATTAACGTGGGAAGTTGTTTAAACTTTAAATTAAAGTGGGCATTTTTTGGGTAGAATTTTCTATTAATATGGGAAATTTTTCTTGGTTGAATTTTCTATTAAGGTGGGGACATTTTTCTTGCTGGAATTTTCTATTAAGGTGGGAAATTGGTTGCGTCACGCGCACGCCAGATGTTGCCAACAACTTGGAGGGATATGTCCATGGAGTACCCATTGGGTGCGAAGGGGGCGACTTCCCGAACGGTACTATCAAATAGTATAGATTATACAATGATCTAAATGATGTGTGTTAAGGATGTTTAGGTAGATCTATTGAGACTTTCGCAGTGGCGGGTAGTGGTCATTGCGTGAAGCGGGTTTTCTTCTCTGTGCTAAGTCTCGGGACATTTGTCGATTAGTACTCTCTAGTGTTATTGATGTAGTCGTTGTAACTCTATGAAACCTGCTGTGCCCCAGTGTTATTGTCATTACCCATTGAATCACAGAGGAAAAAGCCGCTCACAAAATGACACCTACTTAACCATTATATATACATTTATTTATTTGTATTTATTTATTTTATTTTATTTTTTTATTTTTTTGGGGGGAGGGGGGTGAAAATGTATCCAAAGATTTGAGTATTTCTAGGAGATTTGTGTCTACCAAGTCTAGGATTTAAACGGAATTCTAGTCTGCCTATGTGTCACTCTAAGAATTAGAAGTGACTGTCGGTTGTCTAAACTCTAAACAACAAACTTTTGTAAGGCGTTGAGTTGAACGACTATAAACACACCTTCTTCATCAATTAAAGTATATATTACATATATTTACTTGATTGTTTGTTGTGTCTGTAAAATATCATCTCATATACAAAACACACATCGCCCGTTGGCGTTTGAAGGGGGTTGGGGGTCGGTCTTTCTTCACATTGAGGGGCGACATTTTTTCGTTTTTTCGTCGAATGGGGCCGGCGAAAACCCTGGCCCGCCCCGTGCGACACCAACCCTGAGTACGCCACTGCCTAGCACACAGTTAATATGCGCGCAACATATCATCACACATACAGAACAGAACACACACTCTTCTGTGTATAGGGTGTGTAACGTAGCATCGCACACATTACCTTTACATGAACCGTGTTTCTTTAAGATCTTCTGGAGCCGTCCTGCTGCACTTTCAGCAGCTTGTCTGCCGGGCACGGTCGACGAACCGAGCATTGAAAAAAAAAAATATATATATATAAATATCTATATATAGGTGAAGATTTTGCTGGCGTTATCTCTTGAATTTATTTCAAAATGTCGAAATGTTAACTATCTGTGGGTGTAATTGCAGTACTACTTAATAAATAACTTTTTTGCAGCAGCGATCCAGAAAATATTTTTTGCCAGACTGACTTGAATTCAAAACGACCGATAGCTGTTTATGGTTGACGAAAAATTAAAATAAAAACAAATAAAAGTTGTTCTAGTTATTTGATAACTTGGACTCTGAATGTGTAGTAGTGATCATTATACTATGGCAGACTATGGCAGACAGACTATGGCAGACTATCACATATGGCAGACAGACTATGGCAGACTATCACATATGGCAGACTATGGGAGACTATGGCAGACTATGGCAGACTATCACAGACTATGGCAGACTATGGCAGACAATCACATATGGCAGACTATGGCAGACTATGGCAGACTATGGCAGACAATCACATATGGCAGACTATGGCAGACGATGGCAGACGAGCACATATGGAAGAATATGGCAGACTATCACAGACTATGGCAGACTATTGGCAGACAATGGCAGACTATAGCAGACTATGGCAGACTATGGAAGACAATCACATATGGCAGACTATGGCAGACTATGGCAGACTATGGCAGACAATCACATATGGCAGACTATGGCAGACTATGGCAGACTATCACATATGGAAGACTATGGCAGACTATCACAGACTATGGCAGACTATCACATATGGCAGACTATGGCAGACTATGGCAGACTATGGCAGACTATCACAGACTATGACAGACTATGGCAGACTATGGCAGACTATCACAGACTATGGCCGACTATGGAAGAAAGTGGCAGACTATGGAAGACAGTGGCAGACTATGGCAGACTATGGTGGAGAACGATGAAGTTAAATATAGTATGGCTGATTGTAGAGCATAAAGATACGTTTAGAGATGAATGGTGGAGATGAGGGAATTACAGTGAAGTTTTAGTGAGCTATCTTAAAGTGTACTTTTCGATATGGAGAATAGTGAAGTGCAGTGAATTACAGTAAAACTTAGTGAGCTTTCTTAAAGTGTACTTTTCGATATGGAGAATAGTGAATTACAGTGAAGCTTAGTGAGCTATCTTACAATGTACTTTTCGATATGGAGAATAGTGAAGTGCAGTGAATTACAGTGAAGCTTGGTGAGCCATCTTACAGTGTAGTTTTCGATGTGGAGAAGAGTGAAGTGTTGTAAATTAAAGTGAAGTTTTTTTTATCTACCGTATCTTATAGGATATTTTTTTGATGTGGAGAATAGTGAAGTGTTGTCAATTACAGTTAAGTTTGGTGTATTATCTTATAGCAAGTATTATAAGCGCAGTATAGTAACAACTGTCACAGTTTCGTAGAATGTGGTGACGCATGGTGAAGTAAAAGTGAGACACACGAGTGTCCCGGGACTAGCGGACTAGACAAGATGCCTTAGTTTAATACGCCTTTCTATAGCACTGTGATAACTTTGGTGCAGCTGACTGATTTATTCACTGTGATAACTTTGGTGCAGCTGACTGATTTATTCACTGTGATAACTTTGGTGCAGCTGACTGATTTATTCACTGTGATAACTTTGGTGCAGCTGACTGATTTATTCACTGTGATAAATTTGGTGCAGCTGACTGATTTATTCACTTTGATAACATTGGTGCAGCTGACTGACTTATTCACTGTGATAACTTTGGTGCAGCTGACTGATTTATTCACTGTGCTAACATTGGTGCAGCTGACTGATTTATTCACTGTGATAACTTTGGTGCAGCTGACTGACTTATTCACTTTGATAACATTGGTGCAGCTGACTGATTTCTTCACTGTGATAACTTTGATGCAGCTGGCTGACTTATTCACTTTGATAACTTTGGTTTGTGTGACTGATTTAGGTATTCCCTGTGATAACTTTGGTGTTAGTGACTGATTTATTCACTGTGATAACTTTGGTGCAGCTGACTGATTTATTCACCGTGACAAAATTGGTGTGAGTGAAGGAAGTAAGTCAAGATATGTCAGCTCACCTGCGTATATCAGTGTACGATAAAGGCATCAGTCCTCTATGATTGCTAAAGGCAAGAGACATTTTATGGTTGGCCATTTTCCTCTGCTTTCATACGTCAGCCAGCGTATGACTACAATAATAAAGTCAGTGCATGCATTCAATTCGTTCAATGGTTCGTGAAATTGAGCACCGTATTGATTGGATGCTGTGTAGAAAATCCCGATTCTATTGTAAATGCTGGTGCGTTGTAGTTTAGCTTCAATCAACCTTTGCAAAATATTTTGTATACGGAAAACACGCAAATGCACAATTCCTCTTTATTTTTTTTAAATATCTTTATATTAACTTTGCTTTCGTTTTTGGCTGGCTGGCACGATCTTCGGACGGCTAATTGGCTCACTTTCCGCCAAACTATCGAGTTGAATTTAGGCACATCGACTCATTACCGATGAAAACATACTCTATCAAATTTTCAGCCCTACCCTCAAACCCAAACCCAAAACTCAGTCTTTGCAGTTTTTCAAAGGGATCATGAAGGAAATAGGATTTCACGAAAGAACATTTCCGATACATACGCCAAATGAGAATCTTTTTTTTGTTTTTTTTTAAATTTCGCCAGTGCGTTTGGTGCGTAATATGTTGTTTTCTTTTTTCTAAAATAGCGGATGAAATAAATGGAAAAGCGGGTGTGTCATTTTATGAACCTAGTCCTGGGGCGTGGAAAAATGTGTTGTTGCGAGCCTGGGGGCGGGGGGCGGGGGGGATCTAATTAAAATTTGGAATCTTATAACGTGCGTTACTAGTATCCATGTTTTCTCTAATGTTCAGCCCCACCCCCATCGCTCGATATTAGATTTTATGAAAGATTGATACGAAAAGCTATGTTTTTAGGAGTTGTTTAATTCTATTTGAACAAGGGAAAAGTTCTAGCGGGTAATATTTTAGACCCATCATCTGAGCTCGTTTAGAACAGCCAATCATTTGTGTTGGTAACAAGAATAGATATGTTGGGAGGGAGCAGCCCCTCTCTAATAGTAACAGGACAGTAAAGAGGACACTTGATTGGGTAGGACTCGAACGATTTTTTTGCCCTACAATCTTTCTGCCATATGCTTAAGTTGAATATCTCATTCTATACAACTAGTTGTGGTCGTGGCGAAGGGTCTCAAATATTTTAAAATTAACATATTCTTCTTTTGTAAGGGTTTTAAACTTAAATATATTTAAACATCCATATTTTAGGAATTTATCCTTAGGAATGAATATTATGAAATAAATATCTTGAGTGATTTAAAAAAAAAAAAACTCTTATAACTTATAACAAAGTTAGTTAATTTTTTTTATAAACGTTTGAATTCTACAACCAAGTCTGGTAAATGGAACATTTGGGAGAAAGTCGGGGGGGAGGGGTCCCATTGCACACTTCAGATGGGAGGCAACAAAGACCCATGTGTTGCACAGATGGTGACAACGGTCCAGGCTTGTGTCAAGGACTTTGTAACCGGACCCCTTAACTTGACCGACATGGACAACACATGGATATCTTGTTGTTCATCTGACTGAAAACTTCACTCGGCACTTTACTTGACCCGATACTTTAACACAAAAAAGATGATGACCTCTGGACCATCGGAAAACTGAAGTGTAAGTAGAGCCAAGACTGGTGTCCGGATGTCTGCGTAAGTGTCACGAGTCCGAGCCACTCAACCCCCCCCCCCCCCCCCCCCCCAAACACTCCTATAAAGCCCTCTGCAACAGGATTTTGTTTCAAGATTTGGATTTGTTTCATTTCGTTTGCATAATTCAGCACGCGAATTGTGTTCAATCATGACGTTGACTCCTGTGATTGTGTTCCTGATGATGGTATCGGTGAGCTGGGCCTTGCTCTTCGAAAGAAGTAGTCCGATAGCCAGTGCTGATGATCGAGGTCTGTGGTTTTAAATATTTTTTTAAATTTAAACACAGCTTTATTGTTGATTCAACAATAGCAGCTAAAACTGTTTTAGAAATTAAAAGCATTTTAACACTGACATAAGAAGTAAAATGTATGTTGTTGTTTTTTTAAATGGCACAAAATGTTGTTGATAATGGGGAAACTATGTCTTTATAAAATTGATACCAGTTCACTGTGTCCATTTATTCTCACAATAATGATAACTCCGCCATAATTTCTCTTTTCAAAAGAGTTGAAAAATCAGAGTCATTTGATGCAAAGTCAGACAGTAACCATGAAAGACATTCAATGGTCCTGACGTATAGAAACACAGAGAGCAAACATCTCTTATTTTTCTATATTTTGTGTTCTTTTTTTTTTGTTTTGGTGTGATTTTGCTTGTTATTTTTATAAGGGGGTATTGCGATTGAAAAAGTCTTCTTAGAATATGTATATACAAATATACAACAATCCCTTGGTCTTACGTCCCATTAGGCGTTTGACCTTAAACAAAAGTAACAAATGGACGTACATTAACTGTTTTAAGCCTGAAAATCGCGAATGCTGCCAAAAAACAAAACAAACGCACTATGTCACCGGCTAATTAACAAAAAACTACACTGCAAAAATGTGACTGTTCATTTAAAAAGCTAAATCTAAAACTAGTTTAGGTTGGAAGTCAAAGCAAGGGAATACGTGCTTAGGATTTCACTCTTAATCACGTGACTGAAAGTAACCTATCGTGTAACTGTCGAGATGCGATTCTTCTGTATGGCTACGTCTTTCACTTCATTCCGTTCGGCAGTACATCATACAGCAACAGTCACCAATGCAACAAACATCAACCGGTTTATTGTAAACAAAAGTTTATTTAACCGCAATTCCCAAACTATGGTTGATACTTGATTTCTGAGCAACAATCAAATCTTTTCAGCACAAATCTTAATTTATTTAACCGCAATTCCCAAACTATGGTTGATACTTAATTTCTGAACAACAATCAAATCTTTTCAGCACAACACTTAGCAGTATTCAACCACCATCTCTCTTCTCTAACAACAACGAAAACTAACGCGTCACTTCCCATTACACAATTACGTCACAACACTCTCACACAAACGATACGGCTACACATAAAATCTTTAACTAAACATCTTTTCCCTATCAAACCTTGAAACAATAATCTACACATAACAACAGTGATTCTCATACCCTTGACTGTAACCCGACGTCACGGAAATGGTTTGAAAGTAAAGCAAGAAGCTATGGTCATTGAAATATGACAAAAGACGTTACTCGACGGATGAAAATTAATGCATGCGTCTGTACGATAATTATGCGTTTCAAATATCTGTAAAGTCCTGCTCGAACCAGCCACACCAGTAGTTTGTAATCATGTGCTAAAGAAACAGACAAGTTGTGTAAACCGCACGCCTGAACCAAACTATCTAACTCTCTTTTTCTTTTTTTTTTTTTGGTTGTCCCAGCCATCGCAGAGTCCTGTCTTGCCCTAGCCGACCAGGGAAGCTGTGAGTTCTACTCGTGCTTTGAGAGTCGACTGCCCTGTGGCAGGGAATGGTACATGCTCAGGACTGGCCACTACTACTGCAACAAGATGCAGAGACAAAAACCAAACTTTTCTCTAGCCGTAAGCATCCCGAGAAGCCCCCCCCCCCCAAATTGAATTACATTATAAAATCTGAGACCCGGATGTTATCTTAATGATGAGATACTGATGCCTTTTAAACCCGGGACCTTTTGAGCCTCGTGGGTCCATTGGAATGTTGTCCCCCCTTCCCCTATGGATGATCCGACCCTGCTTCAGCAAATTACATTCCAGCAAAACGTTATGTCCTTTTTTATGAAAAATTCAACTTTTATAAAGTCATTAAGGAACATTAAAATAAATACCATCCAATAAGTACAATGCGATCCAACAATTACAAAATTATCCTGTCATAAACACCCCTTCATTATCTTTTTTTAGTGTTTTTAATGATCACTGCGATAATTCTCCATAACGACCTTGACCTTTCCTTTCATGAACGCTTCACAGGGCCAACGCTTCATTGAGGACGCCCAGCGGTGCCTGACCCAGTCGCTCAAGGACGAATACCGCCTAGATGACATTGACTGCCACACCCTGGAGCATCAGGCGGTCGACAGCATTACTCCGTGTTTCATAAGTATGTTAAATTGTTACAATTGTTCTGTCAGGCTTCGTAGATAATGTATGATTGTCGTGTAAGAAAGTAGTGTAAAGGGGAGAAATAAAAAACAACTAGTCTAACTTTACTTTTAGTAAACGTTTTCATGAATTATTTATGACAACGTCATAAAATATGAAAATTCCCTCAAATACTACATCGTATTTCTTTTTTCTTTTATATTTTTGAGGGCCAACAATCAATTTATTGATCATTGTGGCTCCTGGTTTGAATTCAGAGTTTACCTTCTCTTAGATGAGATGCCGTCCAAGATTATTTAATGTCAGTTTTTGTTGCTGAATTAATGTAATCTCTAAAGAAAGACGAGGAAGTCTCCACTAACTGAACACTTAAAAAAAAACAACAGCACTGACTTTGTCCTTTTCAGACTAAATGCCTTGAAACATTTAACGTCTGCTCTATTTGTATAGCCCGACATCAGTTTCATTACGAAAATACTATGTGAGCTGTAGGCATGGCTAACAACGTCTCATAACAAAGAATTAGGATCAGTGCAAAAATAATATTTAAAAAACTAAGCTTAGCTACTTAGCTTACTACGTCAAGTTAAATAAAAAAAATTAAAAGTTGAATGTTGACGACAGAAAAAAAAAAGACAAATGACAAAAAGATATGCAGAAGGAAAAAAAACAACACTTACTTTGGGATTGATAAATGTGCAGAAAGGAGCCGACAGCAAGAAAAGTCTGGGGTTATAAGTTACACTTCATTGTAAGTTGTCGTATTTTAAAAATCGATTTAACCTATTTCGTTGTTGTTTCTCCAGACAATGATTTCTGTAACGCATTTAGAACTGATGCTGCTCAGTTTTTCCGAGTCTACGAGTTCTCAGATCTCTTCACCAGAGGAGCTGGCAAGTAAGTGGACACAGAAAAGTCAGATATCATGGTGGCACAAGATTCAGTTTTAAATGACACATTTTAATTAGGGTTTGACACACATCGCTTCCAGATCAGGTTGGGATGTTTACCCCTTCATTACTTTTGTCTAGCATTGAATAGACCAGTCATGAGCTTATCATATAGTATGTGTACTCTAACAATCTAATTTTGTGATCTCAAAGATATGACTTTGTGTAAATTTTCAAATTATCATATTGTAAACTTCCACAATCAGCAGTATGTGTACATTTCCAAACATTTCATATTTCGCCTCAGAAAGATTTGGTTTATTTACAAGCCAACATTTCTGTCTGCTTTTCACAACAAACAAACAAAGTTTTAATTTATTTCTGTACAATCAACATTTTGTGTACATTCGTATTCACCATTTGGGATAATTCCCAAACAACATTCGCATACGCTCTAATCAATGCTTTGTGTAATATGTATGTATATATATATATATATTATATAAGAGTGAGCTAGGCTGACCGCCAAGCCAAAGAAACGAGAAGATTCATATACGTTCGGATTTTTTTTTTTAAATCATCAAAGTTTCTATTATGTTACCGAAATCTGATAAATCAAAATTCGGAAAAAATATTACATATCCGCTTTTATTTCAGTAAATGTTTATGTATTATTATTTAAAAATTACAAATACATTAAAAGATGAATTTAAAAGTTATGAAAACAAAATTAATTTAAAAAAAGATCTTATAATTACATGGTAATCACATTTATCGGGAAAACCCAAACACCTGTTGTTTAATTGTGCATTTTAGTGCATTGTTAATATTGCGAAATAAAATTTAAATTAATTTGATCTAAATAAATACGCAAATGACGTCATAGGGCGATTGCCTATTTTAGCCAAAGCTCTAAGTTTCTTTCATTTAGTAACCACGCGTGACAGATCTGATAATGTATTTCCCTTTCTTAATAGTAAAATTAATAAATATAATAGATTGCTTTTTAAATTATTAATAAAACACACACAAATTTAGCTTTGTTTTTTTTTAACATTTAATAAGTTATACTTTTATTCATTCCAAAAATATTATTTTAGTAAATTTGTAAAGTAATAAACACTTAACATTTAAATATACTTTTAATAAGAGAATTCCGTTTATGTCAATCAGTGCAGCGATACCCCATAGCCAAATAGCATTCACTAATGCACTTATCACTCATCCAAAAAATAACAAACCATCTGAAGTGCAAAAAAAAATAAATCTAAATGATCACTAATTAAGTGATCATTTAGATGTGGTAATTTATGTCATGTTTATAGAAAAAATAATTGTAGTTAAGGGGGCGAAAATGGGTAGGGTATGCGTATATAAATATAGCAGATAAATGCTTCTCAAATCTTTTAATGATGTTTGAAACGTAAAAATAATTACATAAATACTTTTTTTTTTTAAATACAGAATTGTGATGAGTTTTTGCCATAGCAAGTGGAAATTATCGCTAAGGGCCTGCCATTATTATCTCGATAACATAGGGTGATACGTTTTAGTAAAATTAATAATTGAATTAGAGTCACAGACTGAGTGTCGACTACACAAAATGTATTCATTATTCACCTTCTACCAAGCTTTCATTATTACCATTTGATGCATTCTCAGAAAGATCATTCTTTGCACGTTCTCGATAAATTTTTGTTTGTGTATTCTCAGAATCTGGCGTCAGATTGTGAACATGGCGGCGCAGTGTGGTGGCGCAGCTGCCAGGGAAATAACCTCGGACACAAGCGAGACTGTCATCAACACTGTCAACACCTTCTTCGACTCCCTCTCTCGGGGCGTGGGAAAATAGACGACTCCAGCTGGAAGAGGGCTGGTCAGCTGGTTAACCGACCGCGCCAAAAAGGACCAGTGGCAGATGGTACCCAATACCATACCAATTAGTATTTTTTTTAAAACCTATTTAACATTGGTCTCTAGAAGGTATAAACAACGACAGAACCATAACTTGGAAGGACGCAGGCTTGTTGCATAGCCGCTGGTGTCAGTATACTCAGTGGCGTCTCATAACATTACGGGCGTTAGTTTAGTAAGTTCAGGGAGAGCCAGTGGCGTAGCGAGGGTGTTTGGTGCCCGGGGACAAGATTCGCGCCTGGGGACATGATCCTTTTTAAAGCGCCCCTTTTTCTTTTTTTCAACTCTCAAACCCACTATTTTCATCAATAAAATAATATCAAAGCACATTTTGGCGCCTCTAACTAGCTGGCGCACGGGGAATCTGTCCCCCCTGCCCCCCCTCGCTACGCCTCTGGAGAGAGCATACTTTGTATATACTATTCATTTGTATAACATATGACTTTTACGTGCAAACCATTAAAGGTATATATTTAAAAACTAATCTACGCGTTTACTATGGTGCTTGAGTATGTCAGGAGTGTTTATGTGCCCCCCCCCCCACGGCGCCGCCTTCAACACGGCTTGGAGTTTGATTCACAACTTGAGCGTCGACTCCGGAAACGTAATCGTGAGTGTCCTTGAGCGCTTAGTACTTGTGTCTTCGCTACACTGTTTTGTTTGTTTCCGTTGTTGGTACTACGTTAGTCATCACTTAATAGCTTTTAAAACTTGCTTTGCCTTTTTTTTTACCCCAGACTAACCCACTTTTTAAACTGGTCTGACTGTTTGTCACCAAAGTTTAAGCTGGACTTGTGTTCTGCAAATTTTCCCAATGCGCAATTTAATATTATATATATATATATTATGACCTTTCAACTTTCATATGTATGTAATAATTTTGTGATTTTAAATATTTGTATTCCAGTCTGTTCTTATCTCTTATATATATTTGGCTTCTGTTGTGCCCCCCCCCAACTCCACATGTTTAGATTAATAGTAATGAGTGACAAAAAGGCTGTCATGCGTGACTTCTGAAAGCAGGTAATTTTTTTTCTGTAAGGGGAGGAAACTATTATATTAATCAATAAAGAACCACGGGTATGGTGTAGGACAGTCTTTAGGACCATTAACTAAATGCTCCGACCCGGTGGAGAGAAAAAAAAACTGCAGCCGGTTAAGCTCTAATAACTATATATTACTAAAAAGATATAATATTTACATTTATTCATTATGCTTTTATTGTATTTGGTGAGTCAAGTGAATATAATGTAAACATTTAACATGTAAAAATGTAGGTGCACTCTACTGAAGTATGAGTTCAACAAAACAGTGGCGAATACTTTAAGAAAAGGACGGGTAACACAATACGTAAAATGTACACAACTGCAAAAAATGTATCTTTAAAATCTTTTTAAAAAATAAAAATAAAAACAATTGAGACCTCCCTTTGCGTTTTTAGCAAATCGATGAATAGACCATTACTTTTAAATTAGCTTGCCTCTAACGGCTATTTCCTACCCCCCCCCCCCCCCCCAGTTTCAACATATTAGTGATGACAACTTATTAATTTAGAATATAGCACCAAGACATGCCTGTGTACGTAATTGTTTTTTTTTTCAAACATTGACACTAAAAATAATTGTAAATACTGTAAAGAATCGACTAATAAAGTTGCGTTCTAAGCTGATCAATTTTTAGTAAAAACTTGATAGATCCATTTAGACCGGTTGTTGAACGTGTGTAGAAGGTCCTATGAGACTAGAGGTAACACTGTGTAAATCTTTGACTATGTGTTGTACTTTTGTAGGTCTTACTAGACCAGGGGTTACACATTTTTGGGGTCTTATTAGACCAGGGGTTTAACTTGTGTAGTTCTTATTAAACGAAGGTTGAAGAATTGTAAGTCTCATTTCCCCCCACCCCCACCCCACTTTTCCCCCTGGAAGGCGCACATTGACCACAGGAAGATCTGGGTTCTATAAATGTAACAGAATCTGTGGTGAGAGGGACAGTTCTAAAAGGACAAGGGGCATTGTTTTCATAAATGAGAGATATGAAATTGCTCAAAACTGGAAAATCTGCCAAACTACTCAATAAAGTGTTATTAAAATATTATTAAATTAACCCAAACAAAAATTGAGACCAAGAAATGCTGAACGCATTAGTTGATAACGTTCAACCCATTAGTTGATAATGTTCAACCCATGAGCTGATAATGTTCAACACATGAGCTGATAATGACCAGTCTGTGAGCTGGTAGTGTTCAACCCATGAGCTGAGAATGACACATCGATCCAACTAGAGAGGAATATTGGGCAGGGCAAATTTGATGCCTAGCCGCTTGATGTTCTTCTGGGTGCTTGAATGGGCCCTGAATGCCTCGTTCTGAGTTTCAGGACACTGCAGGTGCCACAAGCTGAGATCGCGCACCTTGTTGACGACCTCTTCCCAGGCGCGGAGCATTGCCGGCGTCCATTGGCTGGAGAAAGACTCCGCCATGAAAGACAGCATTGCGCCAGAACAACGCTAAAATGATATCAAAAAATTTGGCTTAATTTTTACAACAACAAATCGATTCAATGCCAGTTCCTATTTGATTACACAATTTCTTATCTCAGTCTTAGGATACAAACAAAAACAAAAAACGCTCTTTCTTTTGATTATCTAGATTCTTAAGCTATACTTAATGACACAAGTATAACCAACCTTCTTACTGTGCGTGGTTTCTCAATCCTATTGTCTAATATTTTAAAAAAAAATATCGGGCTTCTTTCTAATTTACATTTGATTACATAGTTTTTAATCTGTGGAGACAAGTTGGGACTTTCTTACCATGATTGTGTTCCTCCCGAATCCGTGCTGCTTCATGAGGTCGACCTTTGCATTTATTGCAGACTCTAGGGCAGCAGAGTGGGGCAGGTTGAAGATGACGTCAGAAATGTGCCGGACGAGGCTCCGGCCTAAATGTACTTTCACGGGTGAAGTTAGGCCACCGTCTGTTTTCACGGCAATGCTACAGCTCAGCTTGGGGCATTTCTTCAACAAACTGTGGTTGATTAAACATGGGGAGGGGGGTAGGGGGTGGGTGGCAGTGCCAGATTAAACTAAAGGCAAAGAGGCACTTGACTATGGGACCCCGGACAGTTTAGAGGTTCCAATTTTTTTTTAAGGGTGAGGACTTGATTTGACCTTAAATCTTAAACGTGCTATTATGAGGTTATGTATTGCATTGATGGACATCTCGGGCATATCAACACATAACAAGCTATATAGTTATGGGAATAAAAGACAAATTTTGTGTAAAAACACAAGTAATAAACTTTTCCTGTACCAGGACCGGTGCTAGGGGGTGGCGAACGGGGCGATCAGCCAAAGCCCCGAGCTTTGGTGGGGAGTGGGGAAGGGGCGCGCGTAGACCTTATAATATTATAGTTCATTTATATAACCAGGGCGTTGCCTATTCATAGTTCGTAATGTCCAGTCAACACAGTATTAAGATGTACAAGAAATTCAAATTGCCATCGTGTCAAGACCTCGACCATGAAACTTAATGTAGCCATTTACACATGCCCAATATCTGATCAGTTTCTTCACCGAATTCAGAGAAGAAGGATTTACTCATCAGCAGTGACCACTTCAAATGAAATTTCATCAGACTCGAACCAATGTTTTAAAAAACGCCACAATAGGCGTAGATTCAATGGGTAACCGTCCTACACCACTGCCCTCAAGACATGTTTCCAGCAACTGCAACAATTGACATGCTTAGCCTTCTATATGATATTCAGCAACTCCGTTATACCAAGACTCCGGATAATGTGAGCAAACACTATGCGGATTCTGACTTGGCGTTGGGAGTCACGATTCAAAGGATGTAGATAAATCATAGTTACTATAAGTGATCAAGGTCTTGAGAGAGATGATTTCCTAAGAAGTACAAATAGCATTGCCGAATCCCAACATTAGCATATTTCTCTCGGGGTTCCAGATTTACATGTTCTCTGCATAACGATCCGAAATTGGTTGTTTATAGGTCACAGACTATCTCGGTTTTACTTAATGCTGATAAGATAGGAAATTTCATACTTGTCTTTTTAATTAGCCAACCCCCCCCCCCCCCCGATTAGCGCCTGAAAATTGATCATATTTTTTACATTACGCGTTCTATTTGAGAGTGCAGGTCCTAAAGTTATTCAGCTTTGTGTTTTTTCGGAATATGTTTTTGAGATAAACATAAACCGAGGCCCGATGCGTAATTCGGCTCTTGGAAATTCAAATGCTTTAGTAAAGTAATAGAAAATTGGGAAACCAGGCGAGTAATAAAAAGCCATGACATGTCCCATCATTATGACGGCTACGACCAGCAGGCTATGGCTGTTACTATTCTTAATGTCCTATCACCCGACGTAACGTCAAAGATCCCGCGAATTTCGTCCAAGGCCTCGCATCATCCTAGCGCCGGCCCTTCCTATACAGCAGCCATCAAAGGGAGGATTCTGAGAGACTGTCGTCTTTTGAAGACGAAGAGAATTAACAGTACACTGTATAACTGGGTCAGTAAATAAACAGTACACTGAATAACTGGGTCAGTAAACGAACAGAACTTTGTATAACTGGGTCATTAAATCAACAGTACACTGTATAACTAGGTCAGTAAATAAACAGAACTATGTATAACTGGGTCAGAAAATAAACAGTACATTGTATAACTGGTTCAGTAAACGAACAGAACACTGTATAAGCAGGCTCAGAAAACTCTGTATAAACAAAAAAATAAACAAAAAATTTTAATTTTCTCAGCCATGATATTTAAAAGGTGGACTCGAACTCAAATTACAACAGATTTTGGGGGCGGGTAGCCTAATCTCGAACCTCCGTATTTAGGAACCATTCATTAATGACTGCACGCTATTTTGGACTATAGTTTTACCTTCCCTCCCCATTTATTATTAGACCTCATCAAAAAGAAATAAAATAAGACACCTTTGGCCTCTTCACACATACGTAATTTCGTAAATTAAAAAAAAAATAAAATGTTCATCAACCATCCCTCCTGCTGCCTTGAGTTCGGATTCTGGGAAACTTGACCGAAATTTTCTAAAATATATTTTATTTTCGGACCAACCCTAGGGGTTGTTGACCGTGTCGACGACATTCTCCCCGCCACAGCTACACAAGGCTGCACTTCGTGGATTAGGGGTTCATACGCAATTTGCCCACTGGTATTTGTATTTATGTTTACCCATACGTTGTTGCTACTGGTTGTGTTACTGTTTTTTTTTGGGGGGGTTGCTTCATTTGAAAATAAACGCCGCGGTTATGTAGAGCAGCGTTTCTGGGCGTGAGCCATATGGCTTCCTGTGGGGCCAAAGCTTATATTATGGACGCCGCGAACACTTTGGAAAGACACTTTATCCATATAAAATATACCAGTTTTTTTGGTGTTTTATTTTTTTGGTGTAAAATATAAATAACAGGGAAGGGACCACGGACTTAAAACGATATGTTCCTGTGGGTCACAAGCATAACAGGCCGTTAAACCTTGATTTTGTGATTATGTATTATAATGAGCATAAACATTTATACGTTGTGTGCCACTTGGCGTGTTGTTTTTTTTCCTTCTGGATTTTACACCTAAAAGGCACCAACATTTAGTTAAACCTTACTGTTTGACCAGGCGCTTCCCCCACATATCGCTGCAGCGCATTAGATCATCCCACAGCGAGGTCACCAGCTTTATTTGGTTCGGACTCACTCCTGGCAAGAGCGTGTTGGTGGCGTTCGTTTTCACTGGGATTGGGGAAAAATAAAACATTCGTTGTATATAGATACACGCCTTGACGAGTATCGATTCTTTCTGTATATAGATAGACGCCTTGAAGAGCATCGATTCTTTCTGTATATAGATACACGCCTTGACGAGCATCGATTCTTTCTAGAACAACGGTTCAATTGTTTGATCTCGTGAAAACATTTGGAGGGTATTAACAAAACCTCAAAAGTCCAGGTAACTCTATCAAATGAGCGCTCTTGGGGTGGGGGGGGGTGGGGGGTTATTAAATTGCCCCGACAAAACATCCAGTGCAGAGGTTCCCAAATGGCGTAGTTCAGTCAGCCGGGAGATTTTAATGGTGCTGCACAAATATTTACATATAATGAACTACTGAATCTTTGGGTGAAAGTTGTAAGTATACAAAATTTAGAATAATTTTCTCATTCATTGTATTACAAATTGTTACAGGACGGGAAACTTGTGTGTGGGTAAATGAGACCTTTGAACTTTCTACACTTTTTAAAACAATAAACGTTATTTCTCCATGTGTACCTTTTTGTTGTGTGTTGGCACGTGGATACACATGTCTTTGTGTGCATGCCTATTAAATTTACTATTTGAAACCCACTAGACACATGTCTCATCATTTCATGGGACGGGCGAGTTGGAAAACGAATTGTGTCATCGAAGTGGCTATTCGTCTCCGGGTACCAGAACTGAGAGGTTGAGATTAAAAAACTATTTAAAATGTTATCATTGGATTTGTAGGACAAAATGACGTATCAAGTGAAAGATAATTGAATGTAATGAATGTTTGTAAACTTAATTCTTCAGTTTAACTAAAAAAAAACCCACAAATGACATCCGAATAGCACTGAGTCAAAATGGACCCAGACAGGCAGCGCCGCCATTCGCACCCGGGTACCATTAGACTCAAGCTACTCGGATGTCATTTCTTGTAGTTTATTTTAGTTGAACTGAAGAATTAAGTTTACAAACATATAGTCCATTCAATTATCTTGCATTTTGTTACCTCATTTTGTCTTACAAACCCAAAAATAAAATTTTAAATCGTTTTTAATCCCAACATCTCACTTCTGGTACTAGGGTACGATTATTCGCAGCCTTGTGTCGTTGCCTGTCCCCCAACCCCCCCTCTGAACCATCCCTCCCCAAAGCCCTAAAGCTCTCAACTAATCTCCCCCTGCCCATCCCTCTCCCACCGTTCTCTGAACGAGACAAACGCGATCAGCCGCGATCAACTAAGCGAGAGGGTCGCGTGTGACACTAACAAAATTTATGCTACTAAGTTACAAACAATCCCCATGGGTTTATGAGTAGTGTGAAGTCTTTTGTTGGTTTTTTTTTTAATATTAATTAATAATTTTTATAAATCTAAGACGAGTTTGAACGTACTAGAAAATTGACAATAATAATTTAACATTTCTCAAAATGCTTCACACAAACAAAAAATAATAATATTAATAAAATTGTCAAAAAGTGCGCGCGTGGGGAATAGACCCAATTATTATAATTATCTTTTAAAAATATATACATAATAAGCTAGCTGATATATTATGTAACCAGAGGCGTAGCTGTGGTTAGTGCCACCTGGGGCAGGGCTAGATTTTTGGCAACTCTTCCACGAAAAATAAATTGCAGTTTGTAAAAAAAACTCCGCCCCTCCATATGAAGAAAAAAGTGCTGCCCGGGGCGGACCACCACCTGGGCACCCTCTTCCTACACCACTGTATGCAACCTAGACTCACAACGAAGCATGCTTACACTTTTCAGGAAAGTCTTTGTTCTGTTGCTGTATGAGATCTTTCAGCCTCCACCTGGCCCGCAGCGCCGAAAGTCTACAGATAGAAATTCTTCGATTACGTCATTTAAATATTATATTTAAAACGTCTGCAGACCGTAGGGGAAGAGGAATCGCTCATCAGTAACTCAAGCCTTACGTTTTCAATATTTAATTAACATTTATTTCTCTTGAATTCTCGCTTCAGTTTCCTTCTCATCTAAAAGAAAATAACACTATGAATTATAAACCATTATAAAATTTACCACTGAATTAAATTGGGTATGCAGACAATATTTGTATATGATTGAACACTTTTATAGCGATTGTGTCCATGCTATTTTAGCTTGCTCACAGCGCTCTAATGTCCTAAAATATATTGAAAGAGAAACGTCTTTAAATGTTTCTTAAATGACTTTCTACTATTTTCAATTTCCCTCCAATTTTGAGGCAAACTGTTCCATAATTTAGGCGCAATGGCTTTAAAAGAGCGCACTCCATATGACTTTTGTCTGTGTCCATCCACACTGGTGAGACTCAGTGATGACTGTGTTGAAGAGCGCAGGTTCTGTAAGGATACATTTAGAAATCAATTTTTAAAGATATTCAGGTGCAGAGCCTTCTATACATCTGTACACCATGGATAGAATTGTGTGGCCAATGTGCTCACTCACTGGAAGCCAGCGGAGACATTTAAGAACTGGGGTGATGTGGTCAGATTTCTTTATACCCGATACAATGCGCGCTGTAGTATTTTGTACCTTTTTGAGTCTCTGCATTTGGTTTCGAGGTAAACCCCACAAACATCTGTTACAGTAATCTAATCTTGGTTGGATTAGAGTAGAGGTTCCTAGAATTATTTTGCCTACCATCCCCTTTTCAAACAAAAAAATTTTAAAAATACTCAGAACCGCCTGAAATATTCATTCTTTAAGCAAGCGAACAAACCGAAAGATCTGATCTCTCTAGATTTCTATCTACGTCCTAAATTATATTAAAGAAAAATGTTTTTAACTGGATATTTTGAAGCTTATTTGAAGCCTATTTTGAAATATGTACGAGTTTTTCTAATTCTTCTTATCTTCTTTCTTTATGCATTCAAATGCACCCGAGGCTACTATCGCCCCCCTGTATCGTTCCAGCCCCCCCCCCCCCCCCCCC